CCGTAGTAAAGGGACTTCCGAAGACCATTAGCTCCTTTAGCTTGTGTTAGCTCGTTATGGCAACAACACATAAACAACGGGACTTCGTCTGCGTTAAAGAACGGCACTTTATTTTCAGCACTGCAGGGATGATGCACAGTCTCTCTCATCAGTGTCCGACTTTTACATAGAGTGAAATAACTCAAAAACAGCATGCAGAACTGCGTAGGCTTCTTCACTGTGGCTGCTCGATGTAAATAACATAGCACATGCCTCACTTTCTTCTTGGGGCGCATCCGGCTGACGTCACACACCACACCCGGCGCACTAACGTCTCATACCTCCTACTACACACATACACAGCTCCACACACACACACACACACACACAAGCCACGCACACAAGCCACACACATCAGGCTCAGCCTGCAACATAAGGCTATTTAGTTTGTTTAATAAAAGGACAAGGTATAGACCTGTTCTATAGGAAAGGTAACCTTAAATGACTTCTGTTGTGATCCAATATAATGGTAGGGGAAACACTGCCGTATGATAAGAAAGGGGTCCGGTGGAAAGCGATCACAGATGCAGTCGCAATGTATATTGCAAGAAATATGGTGCCCATATATAGGCTACCGTGGAAAAGCTGGGGTTTCTTCACATGCTGAAAGCTTTGGACCCCAGATACAGTGCCCTCCAAAAGTATTGGAACAGTGAGGCCAATTCCTTTATTTTTGTTGTAGACTGAAAATATTTGGGTTTGACATCAAAAGATGAATATGGGACAAGAGATCAACATTTCAGCTTTTATTTCCAGGTATTTATATCTGGATCTGATACACAACTTAGAAGATAGCACCTTTTGTTTGAACCCACCCATTTTTCATGAGAGCAAAAGTATTGGAACATGTGACTGACAGGTGTGTTTTGTTGCCCAGGTGTCTCCCAATTACAATGATTATTCAAACAATAAATAGCACTGGATGTCTGAGCTCAGTTTCAGATTGGGTACGATAGGTTTTGCCTGTGCAGACTGCATTTAGAGGTGGAACCAACATGAAAACAGAGAGCTGTCTATGGGTGAAAAAGAAGCAATTGTGAATCTGAGAGAAGATGGACAATCAATCAGAGCCATTGCACAAACATTGACCATAGCCAGTACAACCATTTGGAATGTCCTGAAGAAGAAAGAAACCACTGGTGTACTAAGCAACAGATGTCGAACAGGTAGACCAAGGAAAACATCAGCAGTTGATGACAGAAACATTGTGAGAGCTGTAAAGAAAGACCCTAAAACAACTGTTAGTGACATCAGCAACAACCTCCAGAGGGCAGGAGTGAAGGTATCACAATCTACTGTTCACAGAAGACTTCATGAACAAAAGTACAGAGGCTACACCAGAAGATGCAAACCACTCATTAGCAAGAAGAATAAGAATAGGAGGCTGGAATTTGCCAAAAGGTACAGAGATGAGTCTCAAAAATTCTGGGAAAAAGTTTTATGGACTGATGAGACAAAGATTAACTTTTTCCAAAGTGATGGAAAGGCGAAAGTTTGGAGAAAGAAAGGATCTGCTCATGATCCCAAACATACAAGCTCATCTGTGAAACACGGTGGAGGTAATGTCATGGCTTGGGCTTGCATGGCTTCTTCTGGGACGGACTCTTTCATCTTCATTGATGATGTAACACATGATGGCAGCAGCAAAATGAACTCAGAAGTCTACAGAAACATTTTGTCTGCTAATTTAAAGAAAGATACAACCAAACTGATTGGGAGATCCTTCATCATGCAGCAAGATAACGACCCAAAACACACTGCCAAAACAACAAAGGAGTTCATCAGGGGCAAGAAGTGGAAGGTTTTAGACTGGCCAAGTCAGTCTCCAGACTTAAACCCAATAGAGCATGCATTTTACCTGCTGAAGAGGAGACTGAAGGGAGTAACCCCCCCAAAACAAACAACAACTGAAAGAGGCTGCGGTGAAAGCCTGGAAAAGCATCACAAAAGAAGAATGCAAAAATTTGGTGATGTCAATGGGTCACAGGCTTGATGCAGTTATTGAAAGCAAAGGATTTGCAACTAAATATTAAGTCTCATTCACTTTAATCTATTTTAAGTTTATATGTTCCAATACTTTTGCTCACCTAAAAATTTTGTGTTCCATTACAAATAATGCTATCTTCTAAGTTGTGTATCAGATCCAGATGTAAATACCTGGAAATAAAAGCTGAAATGTTGATCTCTTGTCCCATATTCATCTTTTGATGTCAAACCCAAATGTTTTCAGTCTACAACAAAAGTAAACGAATTGGACTCACTGTTCCAATACTTTTGGAGGGCGCTGTATGTGCTACCAGGCCGCAAATATATATTTTTTTTAACTAGGAGGGGAAAAAATTGATTTAAATCGTGAATCTGATTTTTTTGTGAAAAAATCTGAGATTTTTTTTTTTTAGGCCATATCGCCCAGCCCTACATATATGTAAATGTGTGATAGTTGTGGTATCATAAGAGCCTGTCACAGGTTACAGTGTGATGATTAGAGGAGAAATGGGAGAGCATAAAGGTCCAGGTGGATTTTACTAACAGAATGAAACTCACCTGTTGATTTATATATATAGATCCCAGGGGACATTTTTTGTATTTGGGAGCTGTTTAAATGTATAATTTGTGGTAGATTTTAGTTCAGCTATTAATATTGTAACAGAATCTGAATCTCACTGACTTACTGTTGTTGTTCACAAACTACAGAAATGAGAAATCATTTTAGTTTTTACTGAATATTTGAAGCAAACTGTAAAACTATAAACTATAAAACTCACTTATTTTGTTGCATTTCTATGTTTCTATGTTTGTAAATGAATAATAAAATGGTTTTTTTTTTAACTAATTTGTCATATCATCAAGAATATTATTATCATAAAAATACCCCGATATATTGCAATATTATTTTAGGGCCATATTGCCCACCCCTAATTCATTGTACTGCAGATTTTTTCAGGTTGTTGAACCAGTTTGTTGTGTTGTTTTGCAGCACCGACACACGTCTCATGCACTCTTTGAATATGATTTATTCTCTCCTATATCCAAATAATCTATGATGAGGGTCGTTGACAGATGGTTTTGCCCATTCACAGTTGCAACATACAGGACAGTTTTTCACAGGCTGCTGCTGCAGAGCGCACATGTAGTGACATGACAGCTCTTCAAAAGAGTTTTTTATGACCAGAGCATTTTAAAGACTAATATCACAGTGGATCATTTGATTGTGGGAAGCCAAAATTCAATCATTTGCCAAAACCGGTGCCGGCATCAGAGGTAGTACCAGTGCTGAAATGACCTATGTATAAATTGGACAGCCAGCAGGACAGGTTAATGGTTAGCCCCATCTATAAATATGTGCAACTTTGCCTTAATAAAATGTGAATGGGTGAGTTATTGAGTTAAAAAGAAAGAAATTTACTGCTATACACTTGTGATCAGATCACCCAAGGCACCCACAGACTTATGCCCCATTGCCACCAAGTTTGTCGTCCACAGAACGAGGCTGCACGCCAACATTTTCAGAACAAAATAGAACAGGCTGCAGTGAGTCTTTCTCCATGGGATATTTAAAAATAGCAGCTTTGTGCATTTAGTCCTTCTCAGGCAAGCTCAGGGGTTTAGTGTTGCTGGAGCCCACAGGAACGATGCTCCACGACACTTTTCTTTCCCTCCAAGTGAGGATTAGAATATATACAGTTCACATAATCTGGTCGAAATTAATATATATTTTAGACACAACTAAAAGTGTCTGTCGTCCAAGAGAAAGAATAAAATCTTTAGTAATGGTCAAAGTTGTCACAGTGAAATTTAAGGTGTGTTGATGGATTCACATCATCAACTCATGCATTGAGTAACATCACAAGTTAACATTCCACCTTAAAAGTTGCCGGCAGTCGGCCCAGTGAATGAAGTTATTTTTGCTCAGACTCCAGCTGCTGTGAGAGGCAGCAAAACATCCTTTCATTTTATAGTTACAGTTTACTAATAAAACTCTCCACTGTATGAACAGTGATTACATGAGCCTCAACACCAGACACAACTCAGCCCTGAGCAGAGTGACCGTCCTCTACTGACCAATCAGACTGCAGTGATCCTCCTGGGTACCTCCTTTTAGAGGTGTTCTGGGCATGTCCAACTGGTAGGAGGCCCCGGGACAGACCCAGAACACACTGGAGGGATTACATATGTCATCTGACCTGGGAACGCCTCAGGGTCATCCAGGAGGAGCTGGAAAGGGTTGCTGGGGAGAGGGATGTCTGGGGTGCTTTGCTCAGCCTGCTGCCCCCCGCAACCCGGCCTCAGATAAGTGGCTGAAAATGGATGTATGGATGGATGGACACCTGTTCCGATGTATTTTATACCCTGATGAAGACTCTTTAGTTGAAACGCGACAGTCGGTCCATGAATCAGTAAAGGATTTTTAACCACAGTCACAGTGCCTTGGATGCATTTTAGACTGAGTAAACTGGCCAGTCGTTGTATCCTTACAAATGGTAAATTGATTTTCTGTAGGTGTTGACGTAGGTCTAACATGCGCTCATGTATGACGTTTTCTTTACCATCATGTGCGTGTCTTCATTCTCCTCCCCAGTCCGTCTCTCCCTTCATGTGTGCCAGTGAGCTGGAATCATGTTTGAATAGAGTTTGAATGTGATACATTTGAATAAGAAGAATAAGAATAATGTTGTGACAGTGTGATTTAACACGTAGATCATGAATTCCAAAGTTTCCATACCTGTGTGTGCTATGCCCCTCTGCTGCTTTGAAATTGTTCTGCATTTTTGAGATGGGGTCATTTTATAAATTGTGAATGGTCGAAGAAATTTTATTTTAGGTCGCTGAAAGTCATGAAAAACTTTAAAATGATGCATTTGAAATGTGTGGGAACCCTGTTATTACTTTTGGGTCTGTGCCGTGTTATAAACATGTCATAATGTTTTGGGGGTTTTTTTGGCTTGTTTTTCCATGATTAGATGCAAAGAAAATCATCCAACACCCAAATTAAGTCCAGAGGATGTGGAAACCATCGCTGACATCCAGGACTCCATCAAAGACAGAGCAAATGCTTTCTCTGAGATGGAAGCTTTTCTGCCAAAGAAGAACGGGTATGTTTCTGTCATATGATTTATTGTGTCTACTCAGATGACAAAGAGGAGTTTCATATTGAAATGTCTTTTTTGTACATAGTGCAGCAAACATGGAAAATGTCAAACTGTTCAGAGTAGCTGTAGTGGCACAGTAAATGTGTTATAAGAGCTCTAACAGTTCCAAAACAGCAAGACGTCAGCATCGTGAATGACCGACATCTTTCTCTGTTTAGGTTATACCTCACTCTTGTTTTAGGAAACGTGAATGTAACACTCCTCAACAAACAGTCCAAGTAAGTCACACTGATATTCCATTCCTTACAATCTCCAAAAATGTCATTTAAAAAAGTACAATACATGTCAACATCACATTTACATCGTTTCAGATTTGCCTACAAAGATGAATACGAGAAATTTAAACTGGTCATCACGGTCATCCTCTTCGTGTTCTCCTTCACGTGTCGCTTCTTGTTCAGCTACAGGTGAGATTTTTTATCAACACATTGTTTATGTATGCAGAACTTCTATGGGTGACATTTTTGGGTGTAGCTGTGCACAATGTAGCTTTTTTCCTGGATTAATACACATTTGCCGCTTTAGTGAATATTTACAGTAGCAGGATGGTGTATGTGGGATGACTGAAAATAACGAGCGTTTATCGTGATGAAGGAATGTACATGTTAATAAATTTGCACTGTAAAACCTCTAAAATAATTGGTAACATTAATATAACAAAAAAAAATTAAGCTTCAAGTCAAACTTTGTAGATAAATCTGAGTTAATTTGGTTGAGGGTGCACACATAGCAGAGTGGAGGCTGTTGTTAGTTCAGGAATTGCTGGATTTTGACATGCAGTGGAGTTTTCTATGAGCAGAGCAAACATTTTAAACTTCAATATCACAGTCGATCAAATTCATTTCATTGTGGGAAGCCAAATTTGTAATCGTGATTAGTATTCAATTTATTGTGCGACACTATTATACGTGCAAATTCGGTTGTGTTAAACCTCTTTATGTGCCTTTATCTGTCTTTGTCACAGAGCCTTAGATGCCCTGTTCAACTTCCTGTTGGTGTGGTACTACTGCACGCTCACCATCCGGGAGAGTATCCTCATCAGCAACGGCTCAAGGTCTGCGACAAATTTACTGTCTGCACTGTTTTTAATATCGTGATAACAGGAGCTTATCACTTAAAGGCCTTATCAGGGCCCTGTAATTCATATTTCAGGGCTCATGAAATGTGTGACACACTGCTTATGACCATGTTATTTAGTGTTATGCAACTTTATTGGTAAAAGGTTGCACAGAGCCTGTTTACACCTGGTAGTAATATGGGTTTTGGTGATTTCAACACAAGCGGACAGTTGAGACACATTCCCATTCACACCTGTGTTTATTATGCATCTCCACTTGACCACTTGTGTTCAGATTTTGTTACAGCCTACGTCACTTATGTTAGAAAGTCAGAGTGCCCAGCACACAGTTATTACATCTACAATCTCATGAGCTGCTCACAAGCATGCTCGCTAGTCCTGGAGCTGGGGATATCCCTGTCAGCAGAATTCAGGACGTCTCCTCCCATAGGGCAAAATGATTGATGGTCGCACAACACTTCATCCAACTCGTTTTAAAATAGGCAAGCTGTGGAGCGTTTTTGTACTGTAACCAAAACAACCACCATGTCCCACACTGATGATGTAGTCCTTGTCAGGGATGCATCAGGCCACATTGGCCATTATTGACCACAGACTATAAAATAATGGACGTATTTACCGTGACGTCAACCAGTGGTTTGTGGACTCCCATTTTGAAGCCTTGAGTTTTGCATTTTGGCCGTCACCATCTTGGTTCTCTGGAGCCAGCAATGACCATGTTTAGACAAGACGGGCAGTTGTGGGTGCATGAGGGGTGGATCTGACTCGCCAATTTTACGAGGTCTCTTCAAGGCAGCAATTTCATGCCGCTATTCCACCTCGCCGTTCTGTATAAACGGTACAATTACAAAATGCAGGGGACAAGGTTGTCTAAACTTTGAGCTGGCATCAGAGGCCGTACCAGTGCTGAAATTACCTCTGTATAAATGGGACAGCCGGCAGGACAGGTTAGTGGTTAGCCCCATCCATAAATATGTGTAACTTTGCCTTAATCAAATGTGAATGGCTGAGTTATAAAGAAAGAAATTTACTGCTGTACACTTAGGATCAGATCACCCAAGGCGCACCCCACAGACTTAAGCCCCATTGCCACTAAACACTTTGGTATGGTACCTTTGGAACCAACAGCAACCCCTCAGACAAAGTACCTAGACCCTCGGTCCTCGGACCCTTTAGTGTTTCCACTACAGACAGTCCTCTTAAATGTTGGCAGGTTGTTGTCACTCACTGCTCCGTCCAGCACTCGCTGTATTTCATCATCAGAGGTGACACAGATGGAAGTCTGCACCTCGTTTATCGTCCACAGAACGAGGCTGCACGCCGACATTTTCAGAACAAAATAGAACAGGCTGCAGTGAGTCTTTCTCCATGGGATATTTAAAAATAGCAGCTTTGTGCATTTAGTCCTTCTCAGGCAAGCTCAGGGGTTTAGTGTTGCTGGAGCCCACAGGAACGATGCTCCACGACACTTTTCTTTCCCTTTTCCCAAGTGAGGATTAGAATATGTACAGTTCACATTATCCGGCCGAAATTAATATATATTTTAGACACAACTAAAAGTGTCTGTCGTCCAAGAGAGACAATAAAAACTTAAGTAATGGTCAAAGTTGTCACAGTGAAATTTAAGGTGTGTTGATGGATTCACATCATCAGCTCATGCACTGAGTAACATTACAAGTTGACATTCCACCTTAAAAGTTGCCGGCAGTCGGCCCAGTGAATGAAGTTATTTTTTCTCAGACTCCAGCTGCTGTGAGAGGCAGCAAAGCATCCTTTCATTTTATAGCTACAGTTTACTAATAAAACTCTCCACAGTATGAACAGTGGTTACATGAGCCTCAAAACCAGACACAACTCAGCCCTGAGCAGAGTGACCGTCCTCTACTGACCAATCAGACTGCAGTGTTCACAGCTCCACCTTTTAGTACCAGATCTGTGTGCTAGGTACCCCAACAGAGGGGGGACCAAACATGGGGATGGTAAGGAACGGTTCCATTGGTATCATCCACAACTTTTCACAGTGGAGATGGAAAAAAAAGCGTACCGTACTGCTCGGTGGAAATGGGGCTTTAGTTTGTGTCTACACGTAGCATAACATCCTTTTGGTCTAGCCGTATGTATCCCTTAGTGTCACTGTCCTCCATGTTGTTTCAGGATCAAAGGCTGGTGGGTTTTCCATCACTACGTGTCGACCTTCCTGTCTGGAGTCATGCTCACCTGGTGAGTGATGTCATCCACTTTTATTTAGAGGAAGAGTTTTACACTTTCACCAATATATTGACTGAAACATTGTCATCAAAATGCTTTTCCTTTTTCCAGCTTTAATGTAATAAAAGTTTGTGTTTGTGCTTCATTCTAACCAGATGTTGTGTTTGTTCTTAGGCCTGAAGGCGCTCTCTACCAGATGTTTAGGAACCAGTTCCTAACATACTGTCTATACCAAAGTAAGAGACTCAAGCTGCACTACATCCTTACATCTTAAAATATACACGGTACTAATCAGGATAGTATACTGCTCAGGCCTGTTCCCAGTGATTTTGGTTTGTAACGCCTAATTGAATAAATCCTACAGTACCTGTGACTGCTCAACACAGTACGTGATGATAGCCTGATATATAAAGCTCTATTGATAATCGTGGGCTTCCAATGATTTTTCCTCCTCATATGATTTCATTTTAAGGATTTTTGAGGCCCAAAGAGATAAAAGTATCCAGTATTTTAAAGTTGAAAAACACAATTTTGTTTAACAGGAATCATTAATAAGTAGTAGTCCTCTCAGACATCTGGCTGGAACCGATCAAGCTTTAGTGGCAGGAGATTACAAACTTTTGATGATGTGTGAACAAGGCTTGCACCAAAAAATGAGAAAGCTTCTGCCAGTTTCAAAAGGAAAGTTCAATTCAGTTCAGTTCAATTTTATATATACAGCCCAATATCACAAATCACAATTTGCCTCAGAGGCCTTACAGCATACAACCTCCCTGTATTCTTGGAGCCTTACAGCGGATAAGGAAAAAAGCCAATGTTTTCTGAATACACTTATTTTAAAGTGTGTGTAAATAACACACCACATGCTATACAGTATATCTAATATCTTGTCCAGCAATTAATTATTTTTTGTTTATTTGCTCTCTGTTTGCAAAGTAGGCTTTGTCCAGTTCCTCCAGTACTACTACCAGAGTGGCTGTTTGTACAGACTGCGAGCGCTGGGAGAAAGACATACCATGGACCTTACAGTGGGTGAGTGCAGTTTATATTCATAACTGAATGACTCTGAAGTAATGCAAGGAGAAGGGGCACAAATGATGTACACATGGCCTGAGGGTCGGTCTACCACTTGGGTCCAGACCAAAATATTTCAACAACCATCAGAAGGATTGCCAAGAAATTTGATAGAGACAAACAAGTGCCGTCTCCACTGTGAAAAGTTGTGGATGGTACCAAAGGAACAGTTCAAAACCGTCCCCATGTTAGGTCCCCCCTCTGTTGGGGTACCTAGCACACAGATCTGGTACTAAAAGGTGGAGCTGTGAACACTGCAGTCTGATTGGTCAGTAGAGGACAGTCACTCTGCTCAGGGCTGAGTTGTGTCTGGTTTTGAGGCTCATGTAACCACTGTTCATACAGTGGAGAGTTTTATTAGTAAACTGTAACTATAAAATGAAAGGATGTTTTGCTGCCTCTCACAGCAGCTGGAGTCTGAGCAAAAATAACTTCATTCACTGGGCCGACTGCCGGCAACTTTTAAGGTGGAATGTTCACTTGTAATGTTACTCAGTGCATGAGGTGATGATGTGAATCCATCAACACACCTTAAATATCAAATCAAAATCAAATCAACTTTATTTATATGGCACTTTTCATACAACAGTAACACAAAGTGCCTCACAGAGGTTAAAAACAACAAAGATCCAAAACTGAAAACAAAAAGAAAAGAGAAAACCCAACCCTTCCACCCCACATAGAGATATGTAAATATACATATACGTGCGCACACACACACACACACACACACACACGGCACCCCCATCGGGAGACCAGGAACAACTCTCAGTGTGGTAAGCCCCCATGAGGAAACACTGGAGCTAAAAGCTGAGGGACTAAAACAGTAAGATAGGATAAAAGGTATAAAAAGAACCAAATAAACAAAAAAGCTATTTAGCTCATAAAATTGGGTTAATAGCTAGGTAAGAATGATCTAAAACAGAGACATAAAATGCATCAAAACTAAAACCTATAGTCTAACTAAAATAACAAAAGATAAAGGTTAAATGAGATAAGAACGTAAAAAGAGGAAGGGTAAGAACATAAAAAATAAATAAAAAATAGATAATAGATAGATAAATCGATTATAAGAGGAATTTAAAATAGATAAATAAAGAGATCAGTTAAAAGCCTGATTAAAGAGATGAGTCTTGAGCCTCTTTTTAAAAACATCAACAGTCTCTGCAGCTCTGAGGTTCTCCGGCAGGCTGTTCCAAAATCGGGGGACATAATAAATAAATGCCGCCTCCCCGTGTGTTTTAGTCCTAACTTGTGGTATGGTTAAAAGGCCGGTGCCGGAGGACCTCAGGGTCCGCCGGGGTTGATATGGTAAAAGCAGGTCAGATAAATAAGAAGGCCCAAGACCGTTAAGACATTTAAAAACTAATAAAAGAACCTTAAAATCGATCCAGAAGCACACAGGGAGCCAATGCAGCAATTTTAAAACTGGTGTAATGTGCTCCAGCCCTCTGGTCCTAATCAGCACACGTGCAGCTGAATTCTGTAATAAATGTAGATTTGAAATACTCTTTTTGGGAAGACCAGAGAGCAGGGCATTACAATAATCTAACCTACAGGAGATAAAAGCATGCATCAGCACCTCTGTGCTGGCCTGAGAGAGAAACAGGCGGACTCTGGCTATATTCTTAAGGTGGTAGAAACCTGCCTTTGTTATGTTTTTAATATGTGGAATAAAACAGAGCTCAGAGTCAAAAATCACACCCAGATTTTTTACAGATTGTATTGGTTTAAAATCCTGTAGTTTTGGTAAAAGTTTCTCTCTCTGGCCTTCAGGACCAATGACTAAAACCTCTGTTTTTTCCTGGTTGAGCTGCAGGAAATTTGCTGCCATCCATGACTTTATATCTAAAATGCAGTTAAAAAGGGCATCAATTGGCCCTGTGTCATCAGGAGACACGACATCAATATGACAACTATGACAACTTTAGTTTCTATTCTCTCTCATGGATGACTGACACTTATAGTAAGTGTCTAAAAATATATATTAATTTCGACCTTATTTTTCCTGGCGTTCAGAGGGTTTCCAGTCCTGGATGTGGAGAGGCCTGACCTTCCTCCTTCCTTTCCTGTTCTTTGGTCATGTGAGTAGCCTCTCTTAATAATGCTCGCTGCTTATTTACACTAAAGATTCATTAATTAGCTTTTTATTAAATAACAAAGCAAAACATGTATCATTGCCTATTCTGAAGATTAAAAGGGGAAGAAATTCTGATTTAAAATAAATAATAAATTCTTTTAAAGCGCTCCTGACTGTTGGCGTTTCCTCCTTCTACAGTTCTGGCAGCTCTACAACAGCATAACACTCTTCCGGATGTTTCAGCTCCCAGAGTGTAAAGAGTGGCAGGTTTGTACGGCAGAGAGCTTCAACGTTCCCTCATCATCTGTGAAATTTTCCAGAAATGTTTTTTAAACCACCTCTTCTCAGAGTCTTATCTCTCAGTCCTGGCAGTGGTGGGAGGATGTCTGATGTCCATTTAGGATAAACATCCATGAATTATAACCTGAGATCTTGGCTCAGGATCATAAAATTCAGACTGGTTTAATTCAGTAAAAGTAATACATCTGTACAGTGCAAACACATTAACTGCTCGACGCCCCAACAGCTTTCAGTGACTCAGATTTGTCAAAATGTAAACAAATAAAGGAAAACGCTTAAAAAAAAAATAAAAAATTACACCTCGTGTTGAAGCCCAGGACTTTTTAGGACTTGACAATAAGCAAGATGAAGTTAGGGGCTGTCCTTAAAGTGCATGCAGAATGGCTTTTTTTTTTTTAATTTCCATTTACCAGTTAAAGCTGGAACTTCTCTTATTGCATGCGCAACTTTTTTTTTTTAACCCTTGAAAACATTAACAGTAACACGACTTTGCTTTAGACTAAGTTGAGACTTGTGCTGTGTCCAAAATCATACACTATGCACTACACACTCAATATGTGTTTTATCGGTTAACAAACTTTTGTTTAAATAGACAGCAGTATGCATCTTGTCGGACACACTGAGCACGCTTCCTGACAGCCTCCTAGCCGGTAGCCGGTTGAAGACATGTAGCCATGGTAACCTGTGCCAACTTAAGCTAAAAATAATTTATTAACTATATTAGGCTTAGCAAAGAGAAATTTTACACTTCTTACAAACTTAGACTTAAATTAAAGCATTATTAATGTTACAGAGTGATCTTGAACGCCGTCCGTTGTCAACGTTGCTCTCTACTGCATTGCATTGTGGGATATGTATGCCAGTATAGTGTCCAGCGTTTGCATACTGTAATATGTCACCAGAAAAACTATGCAGTTCACATACTATTGGTTTCACACTGAAGGCCCTGACACACCAAGCCGACAGTCGGCTGTTGGTCAATATCGGGCTGTCCTAAGTTTCAGTTGCCCCAGTGTGTCCCGCACCGTTGGCTCTTGTTGGCTTGTTTTTCAGCTGATTCAGCATGTTGAATTTGGTATCTGAGATGGCAGAGCCTGTCAGTGAATGAAATCACTCTGATTGTCAGTTCAGCTCAGTGCAGAAGAGAAACAGAAGTGAGGAATGTAAACAGAGAGCTAAAGTTGAGAGGGAGTGAGACCAAAATGAACTTGTTATATGAGGTAAGATTATTTTTCTTCTTCCATTTAGCTCTCTAGCAGAAACGTTTTCTGATGGTTTGTGTTATTGTTTACTAGTGCACAGTAAATATGCTCTGTTCTTTAAACATTGGATGTTGTTGTTAATACGCTAACTAGCATCAAGATGATCTTCCAGTTTCCTTTTTTGAATGACAAATACAGTCGACTGCCATCTGCTGGTGTGGAGAGTTATTTCCTCTCACACAGGCACAGAACGTACATGCTGGCCAGCTGTCAGCTAGGCGACGTGAGACAACGCAACAGTCGGCTTTTGACGCCGCTAGCTCTATTGAAGTCAGTTGGGTGTGCCTTGGCCTTCAGGTTTTGGACATACGAAAAATCTAAAACACTATTTGGCGCACTAACAGCCTAACTTTTGTTCAAATATAATAGTAATTTGAGTACATGGTTAAAATATTGCTATTGTAAGATTGCAACTGCCAGTAGCATCAATAGAATAATTAATGCTATAATGTATTTTTTGTTTTGTATATTTCATTGACACCTAACTTAAACTTAAAAACATGTACCTGTGACGAGTATACACGGCAGGAGAAAACAACTTGTATCCAAAAATGGATATGGCAACAGATATATTGGGACAGATAGCAGCTTGTGTAACTTCTGTATATAAAGTTCTGTATTTAAAGATCCTCTCACTAAGCTTTGTTGTTTTGCTGTGGTGCAGGTTGCGATGTGCGGCTGCTCTTACATGGTGCTCTTCATGGGAAACTTCTTCACCACACTGAGAGTGGTTTATCAGAAATACATGAACAACCAGGACAAACCCAAGAGCCTATAAGGACTGGAATAATGAGCGTGGAAGAATCACCAAAAATCCTCCTGTTTATGAAATGTGCAAAATTACCAATCGCTCTAATATTCTCTTTAGAGCTCTTTATCAATGTTATGATCGTTGTCTTGTGGATCATTTACATGTATTGCTACTTTTATCACTGTTGATTTCATCTGTGTGTAAAGCACGTCAGAGCAGTGTCTTATACGGGTAGGTTACACATGTTTTCACACAGACCTGTCAAAGTAACAACTAGGTACACAGCAGGTGACACTGTAAGGTTGTTATAGTGGTGGTTACTTTGATAAGAAAGCATTACTGAATGAAAATAACCAAGTTATTTGCATCATATTTATTTTAGCGTCTGTTACTCAGCAGCTGCTTTGTGCTCAATAAAACACTCCTGCAAATCTCTGCGTGTTTTTGTTTTATTGTTTCCCCTCCAAACAAAAAAAGCAGAGATGAGAAACTTCTAGAAAACTGATACAGATTTGTGAAGTAGTTTGAAGTTTGTTATTTTAGTCACCTCACGGCCCCACAGGTTCATATTGTGATCCTGTGGAGGGACCTCGACCCCAGGTTGAGACCTGCTGGACTAAACTGCCGGACCGTATATAATGTATATTAAAGGAGGTCTACCAACTACAACAGTACATGCACATGGTTGCATTAGTATTAACAATCAACTTAAAGTAGATTTGGCTGCTAATACTTTTATTAAGTAGGATTATAAATTCAAGACTTTTACTTAGATCCATCCATTTTCAACTGCTTATCCGGAGCCGGGTCCGCAGGGGCAGCAGGCTGAGCAAAGCACCCCAGACGTCCCTCTACCCAGCAACACTTTTCCAGCTCCTCCTGGAGGACCCGAGGTGTTCCCAGGCAAGATTAGATATATTATCCCTCCAGTGTGTTCTGGGTCTGACCCGGGGCCTCCTACCAGTGGGACGTGCCCAGGAGGATCCTGATCAGATGATCCACCTCAGCTGGTCAATTTTGATAAATCCCCCATTCTTCGGCAGAGAACCAGGGCCTCAGATTTGGAGGTGCTGACTCTCATCCCAACCGCCTCTCACTCGGCTACAAACCGCCCCAGTGCACGCTGGAGGTCAGGGTGTGATGAAGCCAACAGAACCACATTGTCTGCAAAAACCAGAGATGCAATTCTGAGGTCACTAAACAGGACCCCTTCCTCCACCCTTGCTGCGCCTTGAGATTCTGTCCATGAATATCACAGACAGAGTCGGAGACAAGGAACAACCCCGACGCTTCCATCAGAAAAAAACATAACCAAATATGATCTTAAAATAGTGATATTCATTATGGTCGTACTGGCACTCGACAGATCTCGCTCTAATAAAATCTACAAAATCTGTACCATGGAAGAATGCATTGAAAAGTTTGTGAAGCATTTAGTGCATTACACCAAAGTGATCACTAGATGGAAGCATTGAGCTATAGTAGCTGACAGTGAACATGCTGTTTGTGTCAACACTGAGGAGATTTCATCCTTCACAACCTTGAATATTTTCTTTATTTTTAGTCATGATCACACTGTTCTTTATTTGAAGTCTGGGACTCATTTTGTCAGACAGATAACATCTCTTAAGGGTGATCACTGTCACCCTTCTGGTGCTACAGGGCTCTGAGGAGGATGCGGAGGTGTTGAACTGTAGAGCTGATTGTTCACAAGCCATCAAGATCAATCATGAGTTTCATTGAGTGAATGTTATTAATCAGGGAATAGTTGAGAGTCATTGCTGTGGATCAAACAAGACAATCATTAGGTGTCGGCGGGAAGGATGGAGTCTGGGCTCAAGGGCCACATCTAGAGATGGGACTGGGAGGATCCCTTTTTGTAATGTTAATCTGGCCTCTTTTTTAAAGGAATTACTATTAGTCAACTAAAACCAGGCAATCACCAGGAAGCAGGCAGACATTGTGATATCTGTGGAGGTGCTGGGTAACAGCTGTCTGCCCAGAAAAATACGAACAAAAGAACAAAAAAAACAAAAAAGGTACACGCAAACTGCTGTCTCACTTCCATACTCCTTTTATCTGACTGTGTGTCACGATGTGGACTAAAATGTGCGTCACATGTTATCTGTGATTCGGATAATTAATGATACAACTCAGGCTCAATACAAAAATGTTCCTCCATTACCGTGAACACAACCACAGTGGTTTATTTAAAGACAATCCCACATACACAAAGCTGCTGCTGTAAATACGCAAGAGTGCATCAAATGTGTATTAATCCACCACTGAAAATAGTCCTCTATCGCTGCTGTTTCTTCCTGTTTGAGTGAGTCATCTTGAGTTTGCTAAAAAAAAACGCAGTGCCCAGCCGTTTTAATAAATTATTTTGCCTGATATAAACATTAAAGTTTGTATTTGTGACCCATCTGTAAAGATTTACATCTTCAGTAGGACTAAGTGAGTTTTGGTAAGGGAAGTCTGTTAATCAGATAATCACCTGCAACATTGGAATAAGGATTGGCTGGATCTGGGAAAGACTGGGTCAGTTGAGATCGGTTGTGAAGCCTGGCTGAGCTCTTGTCTGTAGTGCTTTGGGCATGGGGTTCAGGCACAGCTAATTATTAGCCATGAATGGATTCCAACAAGATTCCCATTGTTCCTACCTACTGTCTAGCAAAAGCAGTCAAGCAGGTAAACAAGCCCCCCTTGAGCTTTCCAGCTGCACCTTAGCCCGTTCTCATTTCAGATTTTAGCATCAGACACCAACACCAAAAGGCACCTTTCCGGCAGTATGATATGCCGGTGGCATTAGTTTGAAATGCCGCCAGTAACAACGTAATAAAAGGAGCTGAAAAGTCCTTATAGGGTGGGCCAGAGGGGAGGTAGATGGGTCCAACAAGCTCCGAACTTTCACCCAGGAGCCTGCTCTTTGCTTCCCGTGTGAATGTTGAGCCAAACCGTGATGTTTTTTCTAAAACTAACCACGTGCTGTTGTTGCATCAGGAAATAAACGTAAATATGAGGTGGTTTACCAATATTTTAAGTTTATTTTGAAAAGACTGTACAGTATGCATTTAATGAACACAAACTGTACATTTCCTCTGAAAACGAGAGTATATTTTGAAAAGACACAATGGCTGTAACAGGCACAAAAATTGACACGCTGCCCCAGAACGTCAGGAAGATACCTAGCACATCATATGTAGATATGAAAGTCCACGGACAAAACAAGTTGGGATAAGAATGCATTGGGGTTTTTGTGGTTGGATGGTGGCGAATGGGATTTGGGAACATCTAAGTGACTTATCGTAATGTTTAATGGCCTTTAACATTTAGAGGTCCAGTGTGTAAGATTTGGGGGGGATTTAGTGGCATCTAGTGGTGAGGACTGCAGATTGCAACCAGCTGAAACTTCTCCCGGTTAGAATTCCTTCAGTGTTCATTGTTCAGGAGGTTTTTACCAGGCACTGAATTATCCTCAAGGTCTCTTGCTCTTTAAAACAAACACGCCAGAGGCCTGTACTACGATCCAGTTCAGCTTACCCAGGATATCTTTTAGTTATCTGGTTAGACTAACCAGAACATTGGCCATCTGGATAAGCAGTACTACTATGCTGGTTATCAGCTAGTTCAGTCAACTCTGGGTTTTCCGATCCAGCCCCAGGTGTGTTCATGTGAAAGACGTGGGGCTGCAACATCATGGCAGTGCAAAATGGCAATCTCCATAGACAAGCTGCTCCCTACATAGATAAAAATCTCTCATTTTAAGGTGCCGAAAACACAACGATTCTTATTTTCAGGTGATTATACACTAAAGAAAACATACTTGCAACATTAAATTCCATTTCTGCCAATATATCCCCTGAAATCTTCACACTGGACCTTTAAGATGTTCCATATCTACAGTCATCTTGGACTCCCTGTCCTTATTGTCACATTACTTTTCCTCTTTCTGCATGTTTGCTTTTAAAATATGTAGTAACTCAAAAGCACATGAATCTATGAATCTGGAACATGAGTCGAAGAATATATTTACATTTCTGTTACATAAGTCTGTATGTAGTTGATGTATAAAGAGAGACAGGAGATGTAGGGTGAGAAAGGGGGAGGACATGCAACAGAGGTTCCCAGCTGGAGCAGAACCATGCACGTTGCAGTTATGTGTCATGCACCTTAAACATTCTGCTACCAGGGGCGTCCCAGTGTGTGCGAGTTTAATGAGAAATCGTTAATGGATGAGATAATGAGTCAGGAGTGTCTGTTTTTGTCTAATTCAGCAGATTAAGTAGCAGGAGAGTAAAAGCACCTCATCATGTTGATCCAAAAAATAGAAACCCTGAAATAGAATTTGAATCGGCTGTTTAGTTTTACGGCAAAAGCCTTTAAAAGAGGGCTTTATTTAATTGATGTGTGGTGTCTTTTGAGCACATGTGGACATATAATATGCATGACACCATAATAAAAACTTTACCATTATTATTGACTAGGTTTCAATAAAGCTGCGTTTCTTGGGCTTTATGATTTAAACATATCGACAGCAGAGCCACAGTGGCAGAACACAAAGAAATGTGGGATGGAAAGAAATTTGCACTTAAGATCAGAGGGAATAATACCTGAAAAATTTAAAATGGAAACCAGCCTCACTCCCAATTTATTACAGTAGAACTTCCCCCACCCCTGCAAAAAAAGTCCTGGATGAGTTAGTGCTGCAGGGCCAGCGAGAGCGAGGCTGGGCTGAACAAACGAGACGAGGAGCAAAGTGAATGGGGTGGTAGAAGGGGAGGAGGAGGGCTGGGTATTCTCCCAGCCTGCACCTCTTTCATCTTTCTCATTAAAGCATGGAGCAGTGGGGGCCATCAAGAATGAGCCCAAGGACATGGGGATCGGGGACTGAGTCTGAGCCTCGCATCAGGAGGTGGAGGAGGAAGGAGGGAACAGTCACAGCGAGCTGCCGGGCCGCCATGTCAAACCTTCACCTTAAACTTAACCCACCTTCCCTCTGGGACCCAGATAAAGACCTCTTATCTGCACTCACCTTCTCTCCCTGCCTGGGAACGTGTCTGGCAGCGGCAGGGAGGGTGAAGGAGAGGGGGTGTCTTTGGTTGAGTAGGTCCAAAATACACAAGCTTCCTCTAAGTGAGTGCGTATGAAAGAGAATGGCAGCTTCTATCTGGGACAGACTGATTAAAAGAGAGGCGCGGTGAAGAAGTAGCTCATGATAGAAGAGGTGATTCTGAGGGAAGCATTGGAAAGCTCACTGCGATACTGAAATCTTTGGATTTATGTTGGTGATAGTATGTATTTTGTGGTGATTAGCTTTGAAAAGTCGGTTTTATACAGCTTGTTTATGTTTTATCACTTTTTCCTCAAGTAGTCTGAAATTAACGGTTGAATTTGGTTTTTGTAGCTTCTCATTTGATACATAAACAAAGTGTAA